ATTTCTCTTTAAGAGATGAGAATTTCCCTTGTATGCTATTGAGGTATGAAGATTTCTCATGAGGGGATGAGGATTTCCCCTGCATACCAATAGCTCGACGGCGGACGGGGCGTTACAACAATAATAAAAAAAAAATTCTAAAAAATATTGCATGATTATCCTCGCGAAGATCTTTTTGTGAAGCTACTTCATAGAGCTTTTAGTCGGAAAGCACTTATATCGGCCATGGTTTCTTCTCATTCATAGTCGCTATCTTCTAGAAACTCTTAGAGTTTTCTTTTCCTTTTTTCGGAACCCCTCTAATTTTAAAACTTTTATATTTATAGGTCCTATTAAAACCCTAATTTATTTAATATCAATAATGACGTATCATTACTACTTTCTAATTCCATAATCGTCTAAAGAATTTATTTTATCCAAAATATCATTTTAGTTAATTATCATAATATATAAGGGTTTTGCCATTTAAGTCATTGCATAATTTTGATTATTAATTATGTAAAGTATTCGAGCGCAAAAGTTTTCACCTATATAAATAATTAATCATTTTGGAAACAATATGTTTAAAATTTATAATAATAAAGATGAAAACAAATCGATCATAATAGACATCTATATAACCCTAAACCGCTAGTCTCATTACCACCGGTTACATGTCCTCCATCGCCATCGCCAGTGTTGTGCCTTGTTTTCGGGAAACTAAGGCAATATTAAAAAATATGGCTTATTTACATTTAAATAAAAATATTATACAAAAAATTAAATATTCTTCTATATAGAAGAAAACAAATATTTAACATTTTTGTGTAAGATGTATGGTTTTTGGTGTGAAGGCATTTGATAGTTGATACTAAAATATATTAATTGTAAATGTAAAGCTAAAAAATTCTATAATAATAAATTTAAATAAATTAAGAAAATTATTTTGAAAAAAATATTGTAATTACAGAATCTGGAAAAAAAGAGAGTGAATGAATATAATCAAGAAATGGATCTTTAAAATTTCAAATCTAATAAAAAACAGAGACAGAGGCGAGAAAAATTCAAAATAGTTTATAATTATAACCAATAATAAAAACTAAGATAACAATATTTTTTTAAAAGTTGGGAGCTCCTAAATCACAAATATGAAGTGGAGCCTAAGGCATTTGCCTTTTTTGTTGTTGTACATTTAGCACGGCTCTGGCCATCGCCATCGTCCCCTCTAATGTGTGTGCTCATAACATCAGCAATAATCCTTAATTAGTCGAAGGATGTTGTGTTTGAGTGAAGTGTGTAATCCTTCGCATTTGTGCTTTCTTCATTTTAAAAGTCACAATTTGCATTTTTCATAACATCATCAATAATCTTTAGGCTAGGAAGTCTTTATTACGACGAAAATGTTTGATCATTTGCATTTGTGTTCTCTGTATCAAAAGATGCAGGGTCGTCTCTATGTGTATGAGAGAGGTGCTTAAACATCGGGTCCTACCATTTTCATTAATTTTTAAAAGATTTTAAACTTGTAAATTTTTAAAATTATGCGTAAAAGAGTTTAATTGTT